ATTTTTAGTAGAGACGGGGTTTCACCATGTTGACCAGGATGGTCTCGATATCTTGACCTCGTGATCCACCCGCCTCGGCCTCCCAAAGTGCTGGGATTACAGGCTTGAGCCACCGTGCCCGGCCCTCTTTATCTTTTTAATTTTACCATATACGCATGTGACTTTAAATAATATATGGTATTTTATTTGAGGCGAAGGCTCTGTTGCCCAGGCTGGAGTGCAGTGGTACCATCTTGACTCATTGCAACCTCTACCTCTCAGGTTCAAGTGATTCTCCTGCCTCAGTGTCCTGAGTAGCTGGGGTTACAGGACATGCCACCACATCTAAATTTTTAAATATTTTTAGTAAGATAGGGTTTCACCATGTTGGCCAGGCTGATCTGGAACTCCTGACCTCCGGTGATCCGCCTGCCTCAGCCTCTCAAAGTACTGAGATGACAGGCGTGAGCCACCGTGCCCGGCCAGTATATTTAGTTCTACTTCTTTTATGATATCATTCTTATTTTTTAACAGCTTTATGAGATATAATTCACATACCATACAGTTAACGATTTTTAATACATTCATAGAGTTGTGCAACTATCACCAGAATCAATTTTAGAATGTTTTTCTTACCCCGTGAAGAATCTCCGTCTGTAATAGCAGTCACTTGCCATTTCCTGCCAGCCTCCTCTCAGCTAAGCAGTCACTCATCTACTTTCTTTCTCTGTAGATTTGTATAACTTCATTCTTTATGTTTCTTATGCAGCTTGATTTCTTCACTCAATATTATTTTTAAGGCCAGGTGTTACGGCTCATGCCTATGATCCCAACACTTTAGGAGGTCAAGATGGACAGATCACTTGAGGTCAGGTGTTTGAGATCAGTCTGGCCAACATGGTGAAACCCCATCTCTACTAAAAATAGAGAAAAATTTGCTGTGCCTGTAATCCCAGCTATTCAGGAGGGAGGCTGAGGCAGGAGAATAGCTTGAATCTGGGAGGCAGAGCTTGAGGTGAGGCAAGATCACACCACTGTACTCCAGCCTCGGCGACAGAGGGAGACTATGTCTCAAAATAAATATATATAAAATTTTAAAAATTCATTTATGTTGCTGCATAAAGTTGGAGGTTTTTTGGTTTTTTTTTTCTGCTATATAGTATTCTATTGTATGTATAGAGTATTTTTTGTTCATCAGTTCAGCAGTTGGTGGATATTTAGGTTTTTTCCAATTTGTTTGTTTTTTACTATTAGAAAAACTTTCACTATTCTCTTTGTGCCGATGTGCAAGAATGGTACATACCCAGACATGGAATTACAGAGCTGTAGTGTATGCAGCTCTTCAGCCTCACCAAGGCAGTTAAGCTCCCACAAGTAGGACTGTGGTTCCTGTTACACCACATCCCTGCTAACACTTAATATTGGCAGACTTCTTTTTGCCTTTGTGATGAGTTTTAAATAGTATTTCACTGTGGTATTCATTAAATTTTTCCCATCCAGAATGTTAGAGATTTTTCCATGTACATTAAATAAATTTGCCTTGAATTGCTACAGCCTACGATTGAAGAACACCAGAGCTTAATCCATGGGTTCCCTGCTATTGAGCTGTTTCCATTCTTTTTTTATATTTTTTTATTTTTATTTTTGCAATTACAATCTGCATTGCAGGTAAAAATCCTTGTGTATACCTTCTGTACGTGTGAATTTTTCTCTAGGACTGTGGTCTTTACCTGAACCCCCTTCTCTGAAGCCCACAAGCATTGGAAGAACGCCAGCTTTGTAAATTGCCCCACTTTCTCCCGTATTCCTATAATTTCTGATAGAGAAAGGAGTATGGTGTGAAGCCATGGAGTCAGTGTTCATGGCCAAGGCCAGTCTTGCCTGCTGCCAACACCATCTCTGCTCTGGGCTTCCTCATCATGTGACACTTCCCACCTCTTCATCTACCAAAGGGCTTTAGGTCAGGTGGAAAACTTACCTTTCACATCAAGGAGGGGAGATAGGGCTGGGGCAGGCAAGAATGAGCTTGATCCTTTGTCTACCCTGCCAGGCTTTTATGGGCCATTTTTGTGTGTATGTGACTTGTTAACATTTTTTTGTTTTGAAATTTCACTTGTCTGTGGCATAGATTTTATTTATAGTAACTGATTTAATACTGTATAAAAAGGCATGTTTTAAACTTAATCATATGATTACTACTACCTTTTTTTTTTTTTGAGTCGGAGTATCACTCTGTCACCTAGGCTGGTGTGCAGTGACGTGGTCTTGGCTGACTGCAGCCTCTATCTCCTGTGTTCAAGCAATTCTCCTGCCTCACCCTCCCGAGTAGCTGGGATTGCAGGTGCCTGTCACCATGCCAGGCTAATTTTTTGTATTTTTAGTAGAGACAGGGTTTCACCATGTTGGCCAGGCTGGTCTCTAACTCCTGACCCCAAATGATCCCCCTGCCTTGGCCTCCCAAAGTTCTGGGATCACAGGCACAAGCCATCATGCCTAGCTGATTACTACTACTTTTAAAACAATGTTTTCTATGTGAGGATGTGGGTATAAAATCCACTCTAGGTGTACATTACAGCCAAGGGCAACCCCTGTGGACCAGAATGCTTCAGGTTATATTTGCAAAGAGGGCTGTTTCCTTTTCTTAGGAATTTTTATCATTTGGACAGGATTCCTTCTTGGAAGGAATCAGCACCGAGGCCCTGATATGGAATATTTCATCACTTCCTAGGGTCTGCCCGTGCCCTTTCACAGTTCCTTCTATCCTCCATGCCTGGCTCTGGGAAACCCCTGATCTGCCTTCTGTCACTATAGATTAGTGGCATTTCAAGAGGAGTATTTTTATATTTCTTAAAAGATTCTTCAGAGTTTTAACTCCAGAAGCTGCCAAGAAAATTAGATCCTACTAATTGCATCATCAGCAAACACTGAAATCTGTTCATTCAATATTGGTTTCCTTCGGTATTCAATGAATTATCTTTTCTTTAAAAGATGCCTTTAAAAATAGTTTTGTACCTGCAAGACTTTGACCACTTTTTTTTTTAACAGGTGGTGCTTTGCATATCAGTTGATGTATCTCAAGACTATAACCAAGTAGAGAATGTCATAAAACAAGTAAGAAGTTGGGCTAATTGGAATTCACCTATGTGCTTGACATTTGATTCATTCTTGCCATATTGCTGTGTGGCTTGTAATGGGTACATCTTCTCTATAGATTTAATAGTTTTGTAGATTTTATTTATTAGCATGGATTTGTTGCTGAGTGGTTTTTCTTCTCTGTTTCTGAATGCCTGCTCTGCTACATCTTTCTAGGCACAGGAGAAACTGGGTCCAGTGGACATGCTTGTAAATTGTGCAGGAATGGCAGTGTCAGGAAAATTTGAAGATCTTGAAGTTAGTACCTTTGAAGTAAGTAAAAACATTTCTTTGCTGGGGTAGCACATATGCTAAAAGTAGAGCAAGCCATAGGTAAAAGCTTTAAAAATGAATTTGATGAATGCCTTCAGATGTCCATGGAAACTTTAGAAGACCAGAGGAAGGCTGAACAAGGTGTTGGTCCTAGAGCCGTGACCATCAAACCTTAAGAGTTTAGACATTTTACAGCTGAGAAAACAGCTAAAATGGGAATAGAACTTCTAATCTGACACAGAATACTGTAGCAATTCACTGAGGTCCTATTTTCAAGACAGCACATTGTAATCTAAGAGTTGCTGGTTCTTCATGTGCAATATCAGTATTATTAACAAGGAGAAACCAAAAAAGTTGAAGAACAGACTCACTAGAATTCTCAAATCAAGATAAAAAGATACTGCATCTTATTGATGTTTATATTTTTAATCAAGTTTACCAAGGAACTTCTCTTGGTAATTTATTTTAGCACCAAAGAAATGAAGATCAGATGTGAAAATTTTTTTGTTCTTTTTTCGAGATGGAGTCTCGCTCAGTTACCCAGGATGGAGTGTAATAGCGTGATCTCAGCTCACTGCAACCTCTGCCTCTTGGGTTCAAGCGACTCTCCTGCCTCAGCCTCCCGAGTAGCCGGGATTACAGGCACACATCACCATGCTAATTTTTTGTATTTTAGTAGAGACGGGGTTTCGCCATGTTGGCCCGGCTGGTCTCAAACTCCTGACCTCAAGTGATCCACCCACCTCAGCCTCCCAAAGTGCTGGGATTGCAAGCATGAGCCACCACGCCCGGCCTGAAATGTTTTTAAAATAGAAAGTGTTTTTCAGTTGGCAGTGCATCAGCAATCTTTTTCTTTTCTTTCTTTCTTTCTTTTTTTTTTATTTTTTGAGACAGTCTTGCTCTGTCCCCCAGGTTGCAGTATAGTGGCGCAATCTCAGCTTGCTGCAACCTCTGCCTCCCTGGCTCAAGCAATTCTTGTGCCTCAGCCTCCCAAGCAGCTGGGACTACAAGCACCCACCACCACGCTCAGCTAATTTTTATATTTTTAGTAAAGGCAGGGTTTCACCTTGTTGGCCAGGCTGGTCTGGAACTACTGACCTTGTGATCCACCTGCCTTGGCCTCCCAAAGTGCTGGGATTACAGACGTGAGCCACCATGCCCAGCCTTTTTTTTTTTTTTTTTTTGAGACAGGGTCTCGCTCTGTAACCCGGGCTGGAGTGCAATGGTGCAATCTTGGCTCATTGTACCCTCTGCTTCTTGGGCTTAGGTAGTCCTCCCACTTTTGCCTCCTAAGTAGCTGGAAATACAGGTGCACACTGCCACACTTGGCTCATTTTTCTGTTTTTTTGAGAGATGGAGTTTTGCTGTGTTGTCCAGGCTGTTCTCAAACTCCTGGGTTTACATGATCTGCCCAGCTTGTCTCCCCATGGTGCTGGTTTTACAGGTGTGAGCCATTGCACCTGGCCTAACCATCTTTTTCTTTGTGTTCTATTGAGGTTTCATTGAAATGATGAGTTTTGAATGTTTGAAGTTCCATTACATTCTGCTTCTGTAGGAAAAGAAACTGCTGGACCAATACTGTAGATCTCTCTTGCTTCTGGTAGGCTATGGGAAAGCATCATGAACTCTGATTTTCTTAAGGCAAGTCAGGAGAGCCAAGATGTAGATACAAGCAGAGGAATGCAACTTGAGTATCTTAAGGCCCCTTTATCAACTAGGCATGGAAGAGCGCTGTCCAGGCCTGTGTACCTTCATCCGTAAGGACTGGAAGGGCGATTTTGAAGATTACGTCAACAGCTGGGTAAAAAATCAATTAGGGAAAATAATTGTCGCGGCCTAGGCATGAAGTGATCAAACAAAAGACTCGGGAGGTAGCCAGAAAAAGTGGTGTATGTGCGTGTACATGTGCATGTGTGTATGCGTGTGTGTATGCATGCCTGTGTGTAAGGTAAGGAGGAAGAATCGGTAGATTCATCTTGACTGAATATGGCAGGCAGAGAGTGGATTGAGGAGTAAGTAGTTGCATGGTTGTAATAAATAAATGCATAGTTGTAAAGCAAGGACCTTGGGAAGTGGGCATGTCTGTTAGGGCTCAGTGAGAGCAGGGATTGTGTGCACTCATGTGTGTGATAGAAGCACCAGGATAATGGGATATTTCATGGAGGTGTATGATGATGAACAAGAATAGAAGAACTGAGTGTATAATAACAGGTGAATGTGTATGGGTATCAATGATGAGGAAAAAATGTGAAGCAGATGAGATGAGGGAAGACATAAAAATACACGTCATGTAATATGAAGCATGTTGAAATATTTCAAAATGCACAATTCTGAGTTTTTTTTTTTTTAGTTGGAGTCTCGCTCTGTTGCCCAGATTGGAGTGTAGTGGTGAGATCTTGGCTCACTGCAACCTCTGCCTCCCTGGTTCAAGCGATTCTCCTGTCTCAGCCTCCCCAGTAGCTGGGACTACAGGTACCTGCCCCCACACCTGGCTAATTTTTTTTAATTTTCAGTAGAGACGGGTTTCATCATGTTAGCCAGGATGGTCTCAATCTCCTGACTTTATGATCTGCCCGCCTCAACCTCCCAAATTGCTGGGATTACAGACATGAGCAGCTGTACCCAGCCTCAATTCTGATTTTTTAAAAAAGTTCACTTGGACTCTCAACCTTTAGTCTTCCATTCACGCTGCCCTTTCTTTTCTTCTCTCTCTTTCTTTTTGAAAAGAATCACAGTTTTATTTCTTTACCGTGACCACCAGCATCTCTCCCACCCCTATACCCCTGGTGTGGACTGCCTCTCGTGCCATTTTTTGGCATCACGGGACCGTAATAGAAAGATGGGCTTTGGCATCAGACTAAACCAGTTCCAGATCTCACCTCTGATGGTTTCTAGTCTAACCACTTACTAATCATGTGACTCAAGCAAGGCATTCTATTTTCTTTTGGCCTCAGCTTTTCTCCCAGCCTCAGCTGCCGTCTCTGTAAAATGGGCACAGAACTCTGAGGCCTAAGTCCCATCATGTCTGTGTGTCGCTTAGCCCATGGCAGCTATTTCATAAATTCATTTCCTTCCCCTTTTACACATTCAATCCACACATGTTCAAGAGGAATGTCTAGCATGTCAAGCATTGGTCTGGGTCCTGGGGTTGCAGGGACAAGCAGGAAAATAAAGTCTTGGTCCCCATAAGGCAGGACAGACCATTCGCAGGCAGACAGACACAACAGCATCTGCGAGCAGGAGCCACAGAGGAACGAAAGCAGCGGGCTCGGATAGAGAGGGAATGGGGTGAGGGGGGCTCCATCAGGGGTGGAGAGCTGGAGAATGAGTGAAAAGAGACAAGGGGAGGGGTGGAGAAGATGGCAGCTGCAGGCCCCCAGGTGGGACAGAGCTGGGAAAGTGCAAGGATTGACTAGGAGGCCCCTGTGGCTGGAGCCTCCCGAGTGAAGGGCAGTGTGGGGCAGGGTCTCTGGACCCCGAAAGCCTGAAAGAAGACTGTGGATTTTCATCCAAAACTTTGAGGGTTTTAAGCTTGGCTAGGAAGCCATGTGATCTGCATTTCAGGATTTCAGGGGTTTTTTTATTTGTTTGTTTTTTTGAGACAGAGTCTCACTCTGTTGCCCAGGCTGGAGTGCAGTTGTACGATCTTGACTGACTGCAACCTGTGTCTCCCAGGTTCAAGAGATTCTCCTGCCTCAACCTCCAGAATAACTGGGACTACAGGCATGTACCACCATACCCGGCTAACTTTGCATTTTTAGTAGAGATGGGATTTCACCGTGTTAGCCAGGAGAGTCTTGATCTTCTAACCTCGTGATCCGCCTGCCTTTGCCTTTCAACGTGCTGGGATTACAGGCGTGAGCCACCATGCCCGGCCTGCATTTCAGTTTTAAAGGTTCTTCTTGCCTGCTGTGTTAGCCATGTTGGCCAGGCTGGTCTTGAACACCTGACCTCAGGTGATCTGCCCATCTTAGCCTCCCAAATCCCTCCCTACTGGGATTACAAGGTGTAAGCCACTGTACCCAGCTCAAAATCTGAAACTTTTTGAGTGCCAACATAATGCTCAAAGGAAATGCCTCTTGGAGCATTTTGGATTTCAGATTTTCAGACTATGGATTCTGAACCGATAGTACAATTCAATATTCCAAAATCCAAAAAAACCCCAAATCCAAAACCCTTCTTGTTCCAAGCATTTGGATAAGGGACACTCAACCTGTACCACACTTGATGCATTTTCTAATGATAGGAAATTATTTTCGTTTAAAATGAATTCTATCTGAGTTATATGTTTGCTTTATTATTTTTAGTTTTTAATTTTATTGAAGTTTCACATGCATGTAAAATGCCTGTACACAGGCCGGATGTGGTGGCTCATGCTTGTAATCTCAGCACTTTGGGAGGCCAAGGCTGGTAGATAATTTGAGGTCAGGAGTTTGAGACCAGCTTGGCCAACATGGTGACACCCCATTTCTACTAAAAATGCAAAAGTTAGCTGGCCATGATGGCGTGTGCCTGTACTCCCAGCTATTCAGGAGGCTGAGGCAGGAGAATTGCTCAAGCCCAGGAAACAGTGGTTGCAGTGAGTTGAGATCGCTCCCCTGCACTCCAGCCTGGCCAACAGTGTGAGACTTTGTAATAAGTAAGTAAGTAAGTAAATAAATAAATAAATATGTTGTGCACAGTACTTTGGCATGTGTTGTCACAACTCATTGCTGCGAGAATTAAGCACGTCCTGTGTGACTCCACTGAAAGAGGACTGTTGGAAGTTGCACCTGATTTCTTCTGGACTTTTCTCCCTGTGTCTTTTCCTTTTGCTGATTTTGCTTTGCATCCTTTCCCTGTAATAAATCTTAGTCCTGTGTAGGACCATCTGCTGAGAATGTAGACCTTCTAGTGAATCATCAGCCTGGGCATGGTCTTGGGGAATCCCAATACTCTTCTCTTAATTTTCTTTTTCAGTGGTTTTCTTTGTGGTTTCTTGGTGCTGTCTGTCTTCTTATCTCCCTGTAGATGTTAAGGTGAATTCTCTTAAGGTATTCTTTTGTCCTTTCATTGTCTCTGCTTTGTACCTGTGTTTACTTTCTCTAAGAGGTCAGTAGCTCTGTCTTTGGTGTGACTTTGCTGGAAGGCTGGAGACCCTTGGCAGTGTTTTCACATTTCAGAATCGGGCACTAACAAGGTGACTGCTACGACTCTGTGCTTGTTTGTGGAGCTGTTTGACAATGGACCTTTTGGAAAGGTGATTGTCTAGTGATATCTGTGGATGTAGTTTCAATGTCATCTGTAAATCTTTTCTCTTGGGTTGGTCAGAAGCCCTGAGGAGAGTCTTCTAGCCTTTTGTAACTATGCATCTGGGAAGAGTGTGGTGCCACCTGCCTGTAGTCACAGCTGTGTGGGAGGCTGAGGCAGGAGAATCCCTTGAATCTAGGAGGTAAAGGTCACAGTGAGCCGAGATCGCGCCACTGCACTCTAGCCTGGGCGACAGAGCAAGACTCCATCTCAAAAAAAAAAAAAAAAAGAAACTGAAACTTTAGTCTCCTGCCAGGCTGAAAGAGGGGTACAGATCTGCTCTGCAGAGAGGGGAAAGGCATTTAAGATCTAACTGCCTTTTTTTTTTTCCCATTGTCCCACATCATTTTTAAAGTTGAGGTGAAATTCATATAAAATTAACCGTTTTTAAAGTGAACCATGCAGAGACATTTAGTACAGTCACAGTGTGGCACACCCACCACCTCTGCCTGGATCCCAAACATCTGCCTCACCCGGAGGGCGGCCCTGCACCTGCTGAGCAGTGGCTCCCATCCCTGCTTGCCCCACACCCAGTCTCTGACAACCACCGATCTGTATTCTGTCTCTCTGGTCTCTGATAATTTCGTATGATTGGAATCATATGATACATGCCCTTCTGTGTCTGGCCTTTCTCTTAGCATCACATTTTTGAGGCTCATCTACACGTAGCATATTTGGGTGCTTCATTCCTTTTTATAGGGTGATAATATTCCATTGTATGGATCAACCATATTCTGTTTATCTATTCATTGATGGCCATTTGGACTGTTTCTAGCTATTGCTCATTAAATAGACTCTTAGTCCCAGCTCCTGTCTCAGCCCTCTGCTGGCCCACGCTTCCCTCCACCCCAGAGACTCTCGCGGCTAGAGCCTTTTGGGTTCTTGTGGTAGAATCTGGCTTTTTAGTTTCTCCACTCCCCACTTATTGTTTAGTTTTTCGTGGTCTGCTAAGTTAGTTATCCCTCGTCAATCTGTTCTTCAGCTTCCAAAAGGTTATTGCTGTGACTTTTATTCCTCTTTTCTTTGTTCTTGCGGGTTCTTGCCTCAAAAAAAATCTCTGGCCGGGCATGGTGGCTCACGCCTGTAATCCCAGCACTTTGGGAGGCTGAGGTGGGCGGACCATGAGGTCAGGAGTTTGAGACCAGCCTGGCCAATATGGTGAAACCCCGTCTCTACTAAAAATACCAAAAAAAAATTAGCCAGGTGTGGTGACGCACCCCTGTAGTCCCAGTTACTCAGAAGACTGAGGCAGGAGAATTGCTTGAACCCGGGAGGCAGAGGTTGCAGTGAGCCGAGATCACACCACTGACTCCAACCTGTGAGACAGAGTGAGACTTGTGTCTCAAAAAAAAATCTCTTTACTGAGATTTTAGCGAGATCTCTAAAGGGAGTTGAGGTAAACACGTGTTCAGTGTACTGTCTTTTTTCAGATATTCTTTTAGAGCTTTCTTTTTTTTTTTTTTTTTTTTTTTGAGATGGAGTCTCGCTCGGTCACCCAGGCTGGAGTGCAGTGGCGCGATCTTGGGTGACTGCAACCTCCGCCTCCTGGGCTCAAGCGATTCTCCTGGCTCAGTCTCCCGAGACGCTGGGATTTTACAAGTTCCCCCCACCACACCCGGCTAATTTTTTTTGTATTTTTAGTAGAGACGGGGCTGGCCTCAATTCTCCTGACCTCAGGTGATCCACCTGCCTCGACCTCCCAAAGTGCTGGGATTACAGGTGTGAGCCATCACACCCAGCTTAGAACATTTTTATTATCAAAACAATATTATGCTATTAAAACACATTTTTGGAAAATAATGAGAATCCCAGCATCCTAACTCAATCACTTATCATCTGTATTTCCTTGGTCTTCCCTCTGAGAATGTATACTTTTACTTGGCCTTTGAAGTAATTACCGTTCCAGTGTGCATACAGTGTGGCCTCTGCCTTTTAAACTTAAATAGCGTAGATATTTTCCCCTGTCACTCCCAGTGTTTCTGGTCATCATTTAAAAAAATTATCTAAACCGGATGTGGTGGCTCACACCTGTAATCCCAGCATTTTGGGATGCCAAGACGGGCAGATCACCGAAGTCAGGAGTTCAAGACCAGCCCGGCAAACAGGGCAAAACTCTATCTCTACTGAAAATACAAAAAATTAGCTGGGCGGGGTGTTGGGCGCCTGTAATCCCAGCTACTTGGGAGGCTGAGGCAGGAAAATCACTTGAACCCAGGAGGCAGAGGTTGTAGTGAGCTGAGATCGTGCCACTGCACTCCAGCCTGGACGACAAAAGTGAAACTCCATCTCAAAAAAAAACAAATCTGGCTGGGCGTGGTGGCTCACGCCTGTAATCCAAGCACTTTGGAAGCCAAGGCGGGTGGATCACCTGAGGTAGGGAGTTCAAGACCAGCCTGACCAACGGGGTGAAAACCTGTCTTAAAAAAAAAAAAAAAAAAAAAAAAGATATTCTCTTGAATTAAGATATTATGATTTTATATTCATGTTCCTTCCATAATATGAAAAAGAATTATGATTGATCTCAAGTTCCATAATTGAGGTATTTAGTTTTTATTTACATGATGATCTAATTTTTTATAAATATTTAAATATTTGAAACATTTAATGCAAGTATTTTAGATTTTCAAGTTAAAAATTATGGTTTTTAAGAGTTCGGGCTGGGCACAGTGCCTCATTACTGTAATCCTGTCACTTTGGGGGATCAAGGCAGGAGGACTGCTGGAGCCCAGGAGTTTGAGACCAGCCTAGGCAAAATAAGAGGACTCTGTCACTACAAAAAATACAAAAATCAGCTGGGCATGGTAGCATGTGCCTGTAATCCCAGCTACTGATGAGGCTAAGGCAAGAGGATTGCTTGAGCCTAGGAGGTTGAAACTGCAGTGAGCTGATGTTGCATGCATCATTGCACTTTAGCCTGGGGGACAGAGTGAGACACTGTCTCTAAAGAAAAATGATGATGATAAAAAAGTAAAAAATAAATAAATAAAAATTAATAGCTTGCAAGATGAGAAGAAGATATACTATTAGTACTCTTACCCATCATGATGGGAGAGCCAGTGGTTCTTGAGGCCAAGGGCTGGGCTAGTGCTTAACTTGTGTTTTCTCTCTTAATCCTTGCCACAGCCCTATGCAGTCGTACCCACGTCAACCTTGTTTTCAGCCGAGAAAATGAGCAGAATGTCTGACTTTTTTATTCATCATCATATAGGCAATAAATGGCAGAGCCAAGGCTTGAAACCAAAACTTTAAATCACCATCCTACTCTCTTTGTGCTTTTCTTATAGCTTAGAACCAATAGGGCTGAAAATACTTGAAGGCTCTTTCCTAAAACTGTCTTTCAGAAAGTACTACCTGCAAACATGCAGTATCCTTTTTAAAAGGAGAAAACTAACTTCGACCAGTTTTCAGGAAAAACATAACTGCCATCAGTGGTCAGAATGCAAGACTAGACTGAAAAAGGCTTCAAATGGGAAGTCCTGAGGCTTCAAATGGTAGGCCTGAAATCACATTTCATTTATAGCGTCATGTAATCATTCATTCAGCAAGTCTGTTGAGCTTCCCAGTCACTTGAGCTTGCATTGAAGAGCCAGACTAAATTCTCCATAAGCATAGTCTTGAGGCTTTTGACCCCATGCCCTCCTCATGCGAACTCTTTGTTCCCTGCAGAGGTTAATGAGCATCAATTACCTGGGCAGCGTGTACCCCAGCCGGGCCGTGATCACCACCATGAAGGAGCGCCGGGTGGGCAGGATCGTGTTTGTGTCCTCCCAGGCAGGACAGTTGGGATTATTCGGTTTCACAGCCTACTCTGCATCCAAGTTTGCCATAAGGGGATTGGCTGAAGCTTTGCAGATGGAGGTAAAAGTTGTATTCATTTTTGTATTTATTCCTCTGTGCTCAGCAATGTACATTCCACTTTAGTTTTGTAGCTTCTTTATATGTTAATATTAAATTAGAGATTTTTAGATGTGACATTAGTGAAAGAGAATTGGCTCAACCCTGAGTTTGCAGTTAACATTTTTCATTGCATGAAGATTATAGTTATGACAGGTGCAAAATGGTAATGGGATTTTCGCTTGTTTAATTTAATATGCAAAATATTAGTAATATCTTCATAGTGTTATTGGTCTAATACTGTGCAAGTCAGGGTAAGGTTAATCAGATATTTTATTCTATAGAGATTTTTCTTTAACAAAAAGATGTGTCCTTGTGACTGAATAATACATGAAATTAGTACAGGTTTGAGGGAAGAGCTTGAATCAGCTACTGATTCTTAGCTTTTAGACAAATCATTTAACTTGCTCTCAGTTTCCTCCTCTGTAAAATGGGAGGGTTGGAATAAAGCAAGAATTTGGCTCTCCCAATATTTGTATTTTTATATCTTAAAGAAATGGGAAAATGAATGCTTTTTATTTACATAGTTAATAGTACGTTTTGTAGAAGAAGGATATAGTTAGGAGTAGAATCAAAATAGTGCTTGTCATGATGAGTGCAACTTTACACCTCACCTGTACAAGCCGACTTCCACATTATTGTCACATGGGGATGCTTAGAGAGTATCACATACGTATCTACCCCAAAATCACATGCTGAAAAAAACAAGGGAAGTTCTTTCTATTGCTCTGTACAGTCGTCCCCTCTTATCCGCAAGGGATATGAGCTAAGACCCCCAGCTAAGCTAATGCCTAAAATGTTAAGAGCCCAGAAGAGTATTCACTGTGGCCAATGTTTTGGGGAATCCTGGTTGATGATTTAGGTCAGGGGCTGGCAAAACTTTCACCAAAGTGCCAGACAGTAAACATGCTAGGTTTTAAAGGCTGAACGGGGCCAAGTCCAGCTATTTAAGTTGGCTGCGATAGCAGGAAAGCAGCCTTAGCAGATAATATGTAAATGAACAGTTGTCACTGTGTTCCAGTAAAACTTTGTTTATAAAAAACAGGCAGTGGGCCAGATCTGGCTCATAGGCCATAGTTTGCCGACCCCTGTTTAAAAGACCCCCGTAAGAGTCCTTAACAGTGTGCGATAGAGCACCGCATTGGTTAGATAGAGAACAAGTGTGGCAGTACAGATGAGTTGCTGGGACAGTGGCAGTCCTAGTATGCCACATAGGAAATGATAGACCATGCCATTCTCATACCAAAGGAGCCAGCCACAGATTTTATGGTTATCAACTGGCCTAATACTCTTAATAATAGATTGTTATAATATGCTTAACCAATAGGACACTCATGGCTGTGAAATTTCAAACAAGAATACTGGTATTTCTTTTGAAATACGACTTTGAAAAGTCATTTTGTGAATAACTGTTTTATTTGTTTTTATTTTATTATTTTTATTATTTTTTAGCCCCGGCTGTAGTGCAGTGGCACAACAGTAGCTCACTGCAGCCCTCAGTTCCTGGGCTCAAGTGATCTTCCTGTCTCAGCCTCCCAAATAGCTAAGACTACAGGTGCACAGTACCACACCTGGCTAATTTTTAAAATTTTTTTAGAGAAGGGAATTTCACTGTGTTGCCAAAGCTGGTCTCAAACTCCTAAGCTCAAGCAATCTTGAGCTTAGCTGTAGCCTCCCTAAGTGCTGGGATTACAGGTATGAGCCAGCACACCCAGCCATCATTTTATTTTTATCATTGTCTTGTAAACTATGTGAGGGAGATGTTGTGATGCCACCTCATGAGAGGAAAACCCAGTTTTCAGTAAATTCAATGTGTTGCTCAAAGTCACATAGTTACTTGGCGACAGAAATCGTAACACGATCCAAGCCTTGACCCCAGGTCTGCTGCCCTTTTGCAGCAGATGATGCATCTGGTTAGCTGGTTCACCTGGCTAGTTGCCTCAGCCCTTTACTTTGGTCTTAGAATCCTTGTAGCCGAAGGGGTGTTTGGGGTATGAAGAATCTGCCCATTAGGGCTTTTTGCGGAACTGCATCAGCATTCACGAATTTGAACCAAAATATATAATCTGGGTGGCCTGGTTTCACTTCATGTAGAACAGAGATGCTATAAAAGAGGAAAAAGAAAGTGAATTGCTGGTACAGACGGAGTCCCCAAACCTCTGTGACAAGTGTGATTTTCATACTGCAGACAGCCGGCCTGCACGCTCAAGTCTTTGCAACTTCTGTCCTTCTTTGGACTCTATTAAAAATTTCCTCACTTTAAAAAAAGAAAATAAAATGAACTTATGAACCATGAAAAATAGGTTCTGGGGAAAATAAATGCAGTTATCAAAATCTAGTTTGTTTATTGTAGAACTTGCATCAAACCAATTATTGTTTCTCTAGAATAATTATAGTAGTATTTTTTTGAAATCTGGATATTTTGGTCAAGGTAGGTATGTTTTCTGTCAATGAAATCTTATGTAATGCCCAAACTCGAAATACTTTTTTTAAAAAAATTTTATTTTCTGGAGAAGAGTCTTGCTCTGTTGCCCAGGCTGGAGTACAGTGGTTTGATCTCAGCTCACTGTAGCCTCCACCTCCTGGGCTCAAGCAGTCCCCCAACCTCAGCCTCACAAGTAGCTGGGACTACAGGTGTATACTACCATGCCTGGCTGGTTTTTTGTTTATTATTTATTTATTTATTTATTGTAGACATGGGTCTTGCTATGTTGCCTGGGCTGGTCTTGAACTCCTGGACTCAGGTGATCCACCTGCCTTGGCCTCCCAAAGTTCTGGGATTCCAGGAGGTGTGAGCCTCTCTGGCCTCTAAATATTTTTGACAATTCTTTTATTTAATTAAGTTTGAAGTCTCCCTGTCCGCCTCCCTTTGCCCCCAAACTAAGGTAGGACCCTGGCATTGTTACGGGTACCATGAGTAATTTTGAAAGAATGCTTTGTTGGCATTTTTGGGACTTTTTCTTTTTACTCAATCTTTTAGGAAGAAATGTAAAGATTTTAAAAGTTAATCTTTTTGGAAAGCAGACTTCTAAGGCGGGTTATAGCTAATGACGTGGTAGCAGAGACCAAGCCAAAAAAAGAAAAAATGGATGCTCCCTTTTCTGCTTTTCTTACCTGATCATGCTCCTCTTCTCACATCTCTGCCTTCTGTGGTCTGAAAGGAAACTAAAGCTTAAATTCTGGAGTTTCATGTAAACAGCTGTGCTTTCCAGCCCCCCATCTTTGTTTTGATGGGATGAGGAACAGCACATCCTATGTGGATTATTTCAGTAACAAATCAGTTTTTGTTGTTGTTGTTGTTGTTTTTGAGACAGAGTCTCACTCTGTTGCCCTGGCTGGAGTGCAGTAGTGTGATCTCAGTTAACTGCAACCTCTGCCTCTCTGGTTCAAGCAATTCTCCTGCCTCAACCTCCCAAGTAGGTAGGATTATAGGTGCCCACCATCATCCCTGGCTAACTTCTGTATTTTCAGTAGAGATGGGGTTTCGCCATGGTGGCCAGGCTGGTCTTGAACTCAGGTGATCTGCCCAATTTACCTCCCAAAGTGCTGGGATTACACGTGTGAGTCCCTGCACCCAACCCACAAATCAGTTCTTGAACAAGTGGTCAGTTGTCTTTCTGTTTGAGATTGAGGCCAAGGAGAAGGGAGGAAGTGACAGTAGGATGGGTGTGGGGCAGAGCAGTGGGCACAGAGAATGGTCAGGCAACCAAGACCAGGCGAAGCAGTGGCCAGGCAGCAGAGGCCTCAGTGAAGACCTGGCTCAGCCGTTGTTAGAAAGAGTGGTTATCTCAGGGAGCTAGCGTTGTCTTATAAGAACAAGTAAAGCCAAACTACCCTCATTTTTTTTTTTATGACAGGGTTATGAGATCAGTAGATTAAAGGAGAGTATAGATGTGATTTAATATATTCAGATTTTAGCAAATATTTGACCAAGAGTTTCAGGAAAATAGAATTTTTTTTTTTTTTTTTTTTTTTTTTTGAGACAGAGCGTCACTCTGTTGTCCAGGCTGGAGTGCAGTGGCGTGATCTTGGCTCGCTTCAGCCTCTGCCTCCCAGGCTAAGGTGATTCTCCTGCCTCAGCCTCTCGAGCAGCTGGGACTACAGGCACCCGCCACCACTCCTGGGTTTTATTTATTTATTTATTTATTTATTTGTATTTTTAGTAGAGATGGGGTTTCACTGTGTTAGCTAGGATGGTCTTGATCTGACCTCGTGATCTGCCCACTTCAATCCCAAAGTGCTGGGATTATAGGTGAGAGCCACCGCGCCCAGCCAGGAAACTACAATCTTTTTTTTTTTTTTTTTTTTTTTTTTTTTTAAAGATGGGGTTTCACCATGATGACCAGGCTGGTCTTGAACTCCTGACTTCAGGTGATCCACCCACCTCGGCCTCCCAAAGTGCTAGGATTACAGGCGTGAGCCACCGCGTCCTTATGCTTTGTTCTTAAAACACTACTGGCATGTAGAAGTAATTCAATAAGTGCTCGTTGTTGCACACGTAAATTTAAAAAAATAGGTAAATAGTGAAGTGACTAGCCACTGGAGGGATCCAGCCAGAGACTGGGAGAGTCGTTTGGTTGGATGTATAGCAAGAAAACCAACCCAGGAAGCGACTGGACTGGTTTCTCCTAACCCGAGCAGTCTGTGTTCCTACTTCATGAGGAAGCTGTTCTGAAAAGCTGTGTTAACCTTTGGCAATGCAGCCTTAACCTTGAGTTTGAGAAGCACTGCTGAAATCCTGTTCTCCCTTAGCTTTGGAGCCACATCCTCCTTCACTGCGAGAGAGAAGGCAGAGGGGCAGCGCAGACATGAGTGTCTGGGCAGCCGGTGTCAATCTTTATGTGGCTGCCTAATGACCACTCACTGGATTTTTTTGTGGTGTTTTTCTCTGGTCTACGCACAGTGGAGGGCAAGGCTGGGGGAGACAAGGATGTTGTAAGTCACTATTTCAAAAACAAGTGGAAGCGAGTTTCTGACTCATCTGCCTCACTGCCTGGCCCCAATCCAGAGCTATTTTTGAGCATCACTGGGCTGTAAGGCTGCATGCTCTGGTGATGCCCAGTGGATGGGCTGTCCGACAGGGTTTCACCATGTTAGCCAGGATGGTCTCAATATCTTAACCTCATGATCCACCTACCTTGACCTCCCAAAGTGCTATGCTGGGATTACAGGTGTGAGTCACCATGCCCGGCTTTTTTTTTTTTTTTTTTTTTTTTTCTGAGGTGATGTCTCCCTCTTGTCACCCAGGCTGGAGTGCAGTGGCGCGATCTCAGCTCACGGCAGCCTCTGCCTCCTAGGCTCAAGCGATTCTCCTGCCTCAGCCTCCCAGATAGCTGGGATTACAGACACTCGGCACCACACCCAGCTAATTTTTGTATTTTTATTAAAGACAGGGTTTCACCATGTTGACCAGGCTGGTCTCAAACTCCTGACCTCAGGTGATCCACCCGCCTTGACCTCCCAAAGTGCTGTGATTACAGGCGTAAGCCACTGTGCCCGACCCCTGGGCTACTCTTAGAGACTGTCACATTAGGCAGTGGGATTGTTGATTTTCAGCCAGGGTATCCTTCTGAAAATGTGCAGTGGCTGATCTATCAGCTGCCTCTCCACTTCAGATCCCTTAGGTATTTTCTTAGGGACTAAAAGGAGCCAATAACAAATAAAAATCATGGCAAAAAGATTTTTATGGTATGAACCATTGCTCTTAGAGTTGCTGGTTGGCAGGGCAAGATAAGCATGTGCAGCACGGCTGTGGCTGAGCAATCTGTGGGAGGGTGTGTCCTGGCCAACAGCAGAAGAATCTGCTGGAATTGTTGAGGGGGTGTGTATGAGTGGGGGCGTGAATCGTGAAGGGTGCAGGCATGGTGCTGAGTCACACAAGCGTAACAACTTTCTCCAAGTGTCAGATGCAGAGGAGCCACGTAGAATTTCCGATAAGGCAGAGGGCTTTCCCTTTGTGAATGCAGGTTGAGGCTGTTTACAGGGGAGGTACTTGGCTGGTCTGACTTGGAAGTTCCGCCCATTGGTTCTGTTGTTTTGTTTTGTTTTGATTTTGTTTTTTTTGAAATGGAGTTTTGCTGTTACCCAGACTGGAGTGCAATGGCGTGATCTCGGCTTACTGCAACCTCCTCCTCCTGGGTTCAAGTGATTCTCCTGCCTCAGTCTCCCGAGTAGATGGGATTACAGGCATGCGCCACCAAGCCTGGCTAATTTTGCATTTTTAGTAGAGATGGGGTTTCTCCATGTTGTCCAGGCTGGTCTTGAACTCTCAACCTCAGGTGACCCGCCTGCTTCGCCCTCCCAAAATATTGGTATTACAGGTGTGAGCCACCACACCTGCCCTCACCCAGTGGTTCCTTTTGTTGGTTCAGTGGAAGAGGAAGTGACTCTTGACCTCCTAAGAGGCAGAGACTGGTTGTACAGGGAGCTCTGGTGTAAGCAGACTTAGCAGGGACCGTTCTGGGCTGAGTTTGTGGGAACACAAGAACGGTATAGGGCAGGAGATTTTAATGACTCCAGAGTATTTTGTGGATGAAATCAACACAAGAGTATCAGAAGCACTCTGAAGGAAAAACAGATGTGCAATCCGGCGAAGAAGGAAAGGGCAGAGCGAGCCCATTGCCTTGATAAAGTGCTTGGATGCTGCGCAGCGTGTGTAGGAATTGGCCTCTTTTTAAAACACTGCCCTCCTCATTGGACGGCTCCCAGGGCCTCTGCCTGGGCAGCAGGAGTGGAAGACACTGCGAAGGAGGTGACTTGCCATATGTAGGGCCAGCTGTTTTCTGAACGGCTGCACAGCTGAAACCAGTCTACGTTAGGGTGACCTTTTTACCTTCATTCTGGAATCATCTTCATGGAGGGGGTTTCTCCATGCAGTTGGTGGCAGTTCTCTGCTTACAGAATCAGAACATCCCCATTGTTCTCACCGCCTTTTGGGAATCAGGCAGCCAGTGCAGGTTGTAGTGTAGGATCTTCACTGTGTCTTGTTTCCTAAAGATACACGTGTTTGTTTTCAAATGCAGGTGAAGCCGTATAATATCTACATCACAGTTGCTTACCCACCAGACACAGACACACCTGGTTTCGCCGAAGAAAACAGAACAAAGGTCAGTATGCTACGTGTTCCAATTTAAACCTCTAATGTATACTGCTTTTCTGATTTTCTTTCCACTCTTCAGCTCACACTCATTTTCATCAGTCAACAATGTTTACTGGGTAGAGCGCCTAGCTGGTTTCCGATGACCTTGAGATTCTCCAGGCAAATATTCCTTCTGTCCTTCCTCTTTTCCTTCACTTCCTTCTCTTAAAGTTTAATTTAAATTTCTACCAATTTTTTTCTGTATAGAGACAGGGTCTCGCTCTGCCATTCAGACTGGAACACAGTGGTACAATCATGGCTCACTGCAGCTTTTGTTCTGGGACATTTTATTATGTTACTCCTTTTATCACTTCTTTCTTCCCAAAGTAGTTCAGGTGTTCATTCTTTCTGGAGCACTTACTATTCAGATTTTTTGGACTGATCCTCTAATTTCCTTCTCTTTTCTCTCATTTTATATCTCTTTGGCTTTTTGTTCTACTTTCTAGGTTTTTTATTAACTTTATCCTTCAACTTTTTTGTTGAAATTTTTATTTCTGCTGGCTTACATAAAAATTATTTTAGATATCTTTTCTCTGAATATTTAAAAGTTTTTAAAAATAGCTTCTTGCCTTATTTCATGGATTTCGTATTTTCTCTTGTTTCTAAGGATAGTCACTCTGGACATTTAGTCTTGTTTTTTGTTGTTGTTTTGTTTGAAAAGTTCTTCTATGTCTTGTATTATTTATTTCCTCCTAGTTTCTTTTTCTCTTTTGTGGTCCTTTTAGGCTTCCTCAAATGTCTAGTGATCCTTGATTGTCCATATTTTTGAGTGAGGCACTAAAATGCCAATTGTAAATCTCTAGCTTCTCAGCTGTTTAGGATGATCAGGAGAAGATGCAGTCACATCATTAGAAGACTCTCATATGCCAGCATCTGCTCACTTTTCTCTTGGTTTGATCAGTTTCCTAAGTGAGGAATCATGTTGTCTCCTGCCTTTGGGAGAGTAAGATCTCCTGTCTGTGTTGTGGGAGCCAAGCAGAGCAAGAGGGCTGGGGAGCTCACCACCTAAGTGCCAACTTTGGCTTAATTTTTCTGTTTCCACAAGTTGCCTTGTAACTACTCTTAGTGGTGGCTGGTGTTCCAGAATTAACAGTCTGATTAGTAAACTGCTAATCTTCTGCCATTGTAGAGGAGATGACTGGAGGTCTGCATTGCACTTGTCACAGCTTATAACAGAAACTTCTCATAGCACTTATAACAGACATATCTGTTATATAAAATCACTGCCAGTCATCCTGAGCTGAATACAAGCTTCACATTTTTCAATGGAATGTTCCCTTTGCCTTGACACATAGTAGTTGCCTTTTTGAGCAAATGAATAAGTGAAGCAGGAAGAAAGGAATCAATCGGAACTTACTACCTTGAACTGTGGTTAATTTTAGTTTTATACTTTTTTCTTCCCTTTTATACCAATACTTTGTAAATGTGAATCGCTGCAGCATAAAAATTGGCACTTAAACTCCCTAGACTGTATATTTGTAAAAAGCTGTTTATGATTTAGAACTGTTTTTTCCCCTATTCTTTTCTCTTTTGCTCTGCCTTTTTAAAAATTGCTGCTATTTCAAAGAAGTAAATTGAAGCCAAATGTCCTGTCTTCGAATATGCAGAGATCTGCTAAGCAGCTTTGCAGCATTTGGTATGCAGCCTTTAGTTTGAAGCCAAAGCCGACAAAGGGTGGTGATTTCCCTGTTAAGGTTTGATTCTGATGTTGATTAAGTTGGGGTTTTTTTTCCTTCAGCAAAATTGTGGACAGACTTGTTTGGGTAAATGCAATTCTACGTTGATGTGTGGGCCCTTTAGGGGGTGCCATAGTGCTTTAGAATCTTATGAGTATTTAGTGTGGTTGTGTCAGCCTGGTGGTCTGGAAGAATGAACGGTGGCACCTTCAAAACAGCCTTTCTCTTACTTCAGGTTCATCAAGAAATACTTGATCTTTATGAAATACTTTACTTTTCTATTTTAAGAAAATATAATCTGGTTTTTATTTTCTTTAATTCTTTCAAGCTTATATGGTAAAATTTACAGTCTTAATACAGTTTAAGGCTTTCATTTAACACTTCTAACTGAAACTGTTTGACACTTCTAATTGGAACTAATTGAAATAATTTTTGAGCACGCATATGCAAGGCATCACAAAGAAAAGTCAAAGATAACTAATTTATTTTTAAAAAGACCCTGCCCATAAGAAACTTAGGAGGTAAAATGCAAGGCACAAGTAGCTATAATGTGTATTAAAGCCGAAATGTTCACAGAAGAAAGAGAGAGGATACTGCCAGTTAGGTATTTAGGAAAGGCTTTTTGGGCTAGGCGAGGGTTGAGATGGACCTTTTGAGGAAGAAAGGCCAAAGATTTGGGGTCTGCAACTCCAGCCTGGAAACTAGCATGCAGCCCACCTAGGGACCACTCAGGGCTGTCTCATAAGTGGCACCTTGTCTTTCAGTGCCCTGTGTGTTTGTCTCCTCTGCAGGTCCTTTAAGAAACATCTGCCTGCCTTGAGCCCCAGGTTCATCCCCAAGGATCAGCCCTCAGCTGGCCTGGGATTGTGGTCAGAATGGAGTTGCTGGTCTTGGGAGCAGGCTTGCTCTGGACACAGGTCTAGCCCCTCCAGAAGCACTGTCCCTCAGGTGTCTGGCCAGCACTGAGGAGTCAAAGAGGGGGTCTTTCTGAACTTGTACCCAGTGATGTGTTCTCACTCTAGCTTTGACAGTCCTCACTGGAGCCAGGACTACATGTGTCCTAAGAGAATGGCAAAGGCCTCCTTGTCTTGCTTCAGCTACTAAGCAGAATTTTACATAGTAACTAGGTAGACACTGATTTAGAATCCAGATGGACCTTATGCTCACAACAGGAATCTGCTCAAAGGTAGAAAATTGGAATTATTTGTAAATCAGGAGGCTGTAGGAATAACTTATTTCTAATGTAATGGGCAATCATGATATTGTTATGCACATTTTTTTTTTCACTTTTAGCCTTTGGAGACTCGACTTATTTCAGAGACCACATCTGTGTGCAAACCAGAACAGGTGGCCAAACAAATTGTTAAAGATGCCATAGTAAGTCAAATCCTTGGTCTCTGTACTATTCGTATTTGTACTGCTATATTTCTGAAAAGATATTTGTCTAAGTACTTATTTCAAGACATCAATTATTATAAGTGTTTAGTCTGTTTAGAGTCATCATATCTAATGCTGGAATTTTTCTTCTTTTATATGTTTTATTGACTCCATATTAGAGAGTAGGCTCCTGGAAACTGATTGTATACCTTAACCTTAGGAACAGGTTTACCAGAAGGATGTCTGGAAACACCAGTTCTTTAAAAAGAAAGTGAGACTTTTCTATACAGTGTAAACAATATATACTATGTCCTATGTACAGCTGGCTGTCTTCTTTCCCATTCCTGCTTCCCAGTATCATTTTCCTAAAAGTTAGCTAATGAGAAGTGCCACCAACCCTGTGAGCCTGTCCTCCTGTCTTCCCTGTTGATATGTTTTTTTATTGAGAATCCAAAATGATATTTTAAGAAATGATGTGCTGTTTCTAGAAGAACAACATGTGTCTCATGCTTTTTGATAACATTTCCGTTAATGCAGAAAAATACACATTTATGAGGGATGTCTGTAAACCAGAGGCCCACATTAAATTTGGAAAATCTTTAGGACCATGGGAATGAGAGGGGACAGCATGTGGTAGACAGCCTTGAAGTAGCGTAAGTGCTATCACATTAGACTGAACTGATGGAATAAGACTTACTGAATTCTGTTAAAATATATATGCATGTGAAGAACTTTGCTCCAAGTACATTAAAAGGCCCAGGAAGATGGCACAAGTGGAACTTTATTTTTGCTACTTATCTCAAGTCAAAGCAAATGCATTTGGTGGGTTTTTTTCCTTTCTTTTTTTTTTTTTTTTTAGGCAGAGTTTTGCTCTTGTTGCCCATGCTGGAGTGCAGTGGTGCAATCTTGGCTCAATGCAACCTCCACCTCCTGGATTTAAGCAATTCTCCTGCCTCAGCCTCCTGAGTAGCTGGGATTACAGGCACCCACCACCATGCCCAGCTAATTTTTTGTATTTATAGTAGAAACGGGGTTTCACCATGTTGGCCAGGCTGGTCTCAAACTCCTGGTTTCAGGTGATCCACATACCTCAGCCTCTTGGCCAAAGTGCTGGGATTATAGGCATGAGCTACCATGCCTGGCCTATTTGGTATTTTTATTGATGTTAAATAGCTATTAGTATTTTGGCAGTATTCATTTAGTTTGATGGTTTTCAAACTTTTCTTCTCTTGACTGTTTTATATTCTTATAAATTGTCACAACCCCAGAGAACTTTCATTTATTTATATGGCTAGATTTATTGATAGTTGCCATATTTGAAATTGAAGCTATGTGGAATATTTATTAATTCATTAAAAATAACAAAAATATACCCATTGCTTTATAACGTGACTTTTTTTTAAACAAAATTTACTACTTTTCAAAGCAACAGTTCAGCGAGAACAGTGGCAGTGGTTCACATTTTCACCTGTCTCTTTAAGGTCTACATGAACAGCTGGATTCAAATAGCTGCTTCTGCATTCCATCTGTTGTAATAACGTTGTTTTGATGGAAGGATATGAAGAAAATCTTGCCTTACACAGATACGGAGTTAAGAAAGGGAACAGTATTTTACAAGGCTTTTGAGATAATTATGGACATTCTTTTTTGATATCAAACCCAAACTCACCAAATGGTAGTTTCTTAAAGGTTAGTTGCAGGATGGAATTGGAAACTGCATCAGTGAACGTTTTGTTCTCTGTTACATTAAATTCCATTGGTCCATCTTGTACTTTGAATGGATCTTTTAACCATTCATTATTTCGTAACATTATGCGTTAGTCATTTGGAAAATATGGGTTGACTGAGTGATCAAAAAAATCTCTTTCATCAGTATTACTGCTGATCTTATCATAAAAGTATGCAGCTGACAGTCTCATGATGGTGGATACTAGTTTTGCCAAATCTTAATTTTTTTCTTGAAGGCTCAGATTTTAACATTGATGACACATGTGGCCAGTTGTTTTTCCTGAAGTGACAGGCTTGCTTTCTTCATTTTCTGCAAGTCTGCCACATACTTAAGTCTGAATAACCATAGATATATATGTCAGTGGTCTTTCATATAAAAATTATGCTCCCCAGCCAGACATGATGGCTCATACCTATAATCCCAGCACTTTCAGAGGCTCAGATGGGTGGATTGCTTGAGCTCAGGGGTTTGAGACCACCCTGGCCAACATGGTGAAACCCCGTCTCTACTAAAAATACAAAAATTTTCTGAGCGTGGTGGTGGGCACCTGTAATCCCAGCTACTCGGGAGGCTGAGGCAGCAGAATTGCTTGAACCTGAGAGGCGGAGGTTGTAGTGAGCTGAGATCACACTGCTGCACTCCAGCCTGGGCCACAGAGCGAGACTCTGTCAATAAATAAATAAATAAATAAATAAGACACTCTGTGAAAGAAGTGGCAGTTCAGCCCTTGACTTACACACAGCTGCATGAGGGCTTTTCTTCCAGGCAGTTGACCTTCTGTGGAATGCAGTGCCGCAGAAGCACATTGGGCATGTTCTCATTTGTCACACAGAATACTAATAAGACATGTCCTCGAGGTTGCCATTTAACAAAATGATGAATTTTGCTGCTTTATCAAGAGGATTTTTAAGCAAAACTGACACTTTTTGATTTTTAAAAGAGTGTTAGAATTTGTATTTTCTTTGTATATTATTTATTACCACAAATGCATGTGGTAGTACAGGTGACAATGACTCCTAGTACAGTTTGGCAAGAACACTGTAGTTCTTGCCCATGTCTCTGCAGTTTTACAGATGCAAAATTGTATTTTCTATACAAATATAACAGTGTAGAAAAGGCAATGAACGTCTTAGTGTTATTAGGACAATCACTTGTCTTCGGGGCCCGCAGGGGTCCTGGACTCACATGTTGAGAACTGTCTATCTGCCGAGGCCCTGCATCCATTTCCGAGTGCTGATCAATGCTTTGTTACCGTTTTATCTCGCCTAAAGTGAATGAGCACCCTGCATTGTTTCTGTTATGTTGGATTGATTTCCATCTACATTGTTAGGATTCCCTCTTTCTCTCCTCTTTCTTCTCTTTTAGCAAGGAAATTTCAACAGTTCCCTTGGCTCAGATGGGTACATGCTCTCGGCCCTGACCTGTGGGATGGCTCCAGTAACTTCTATTACTGAGGGGCTCCAGCAGGTAAGGCCTTCCTAGGCTAGCAATCAGACACACAGACCGATGGACAAGAGAAAAACTGCCTTTCATCAAACCTTGATGGGAAGAGGTTAAGAGAAAACTAAGTAACTTCATTTGAGAATGTATTTTTATTGAGCTATCAACTTTTCCTCTTCCTCCACCAGGAATGAGTAAATAGGTTAAAGATTTAACTTCAGGAATTTAGACTGGTAAGAAGTCTTTGGTGCCATGCCTTGCAGATAGAGAAATAAAACACTGTCTGTGATGTCGAGGTGTTGATCTGGATTTTCACCTAAGCACCACTGCTCTAATATGTTTTGAAAAATGGAATACTGCTCTAGAGTAAGGGGTGGCCTTGCCTAAAACGTACTGGGATATTAGGCTAGAAAACCTTTTCTAGGAGAATCAGGTCACACAGAGCTAAATTTAGGAGATACAAATCAAGGCTTAAACATAATTCCTATTATTATGGAATTTATTATTTTGTCCAAGATACACAGTTCGTGTTTCATTGATGTGCTAGGTACTGTACTTGCTCATGGAGAATCAGATGTAAGGCGACCTCCAACTTCAGGGGCTTACAGTCAAGTGGAATACACTGACCAAAATGGTGATAGTAGAATGGGCGCGGCGGCTCATGTCTGTAATCCCAGCACTTTGGGAGGCTGATGTGGGTGGATCACTTGAGGTCAGGAGTTCAAGGCCAGCTTGGCCAACATGGTGAAACCCCATCTCTACTAAAAATACAAAAATCATCTGGGTGTGGTGGCAGGTGCTGTAATCCCAGCTACCTGGAAGATTGAGGCAGGAGAATTCGTTGAATGCAGCAGGTGGAGGTTGCAGTGAGCCAAGATTGTGCCACTGTACTCCAACCTGGGCGACAAGAGCGAAACCCCGTCTCAAAAAAAAAAAAAAAAAAAAGTGATAGTAATGCAGTGTAATATAGTAGGGGTTACAGTAGAGGGAATGCTCTGGAAAAGCAAAGCCATGGGATAGTTGATAACGAGTACTACATTGTGTGCGGTAGACCACATTCAGATTTATGTAAATGACATAGTTGTTGGCCCTTATTTCCCAAGCCCTCTTTTCTTGTTACTCTGTAATATACCTACTGTGTTGTCATTCTCTTAGAGGTCAATACTCTGTTAGATGTAAGCTTTTTGAGGACCAAGCCCCTGCCTCTTGTTTGCCATTGTACCCCTAACAGCCAGTGCCTTGCACTTAGTAGGAGCTCCAGAATACCTGAGCTGAATGAATGCATGAATTCTGTTATTTTAATTTTGGGGCTGGCATGGTGGCTCACACCTGGGGTTGTTGTCCCAGACTCCCCTCCTTCTGTCCCTCACGTCAGGGATCAGTGTCACCCTTGTCACTCTGTTCTTCAAATGCTTCCATGCTCTGCAGTTCTGGCACTGCTTCTGGAGCCCAGGCCTGGCTTGCCACAGCAGGCCCCTGCCTGAATTATACACTTTTTGAGCCAGAGGTTGTAAACGATTCCCATGGGCCTGTAAAGCAGTTTTGTTTGGTCCATCTGGCATGAGTGTGTGTGTTTAAGATTTTTAAATAGTTTTAAAATTAGGTTTTATATAAAAGGTCCAGATTTCAGACTTTTCTTGGAAAATCAGAAGGTCTGGCTGCACAGTCTGCATTCTCACCTGGCAGTCATCAGCAGGCACAGGTGGCAGCTGCTCCTCAGGGAGGGGCACAGTCCCCACAAGCACTATGGTCTGCAACCCCCTGGCCAGGCCCCTGGGATGCGTTTGAGTGTGCCCTCACATTTTCTACACCAGTTTTTCTAAACTGCAACTGTACTTGCATGAAAACATTCAGTGGCTTCTTGATACCATCAGGATAAAGTTTTAAAAATTCCATTGCACCTGGGTATGGTGGCTCATGCCTGTAATCTTAGCACTTTGGAAGGCCGAGTTGGGAGGATCACTTGAGCTCTGGAGTTTGAGACCAGCCTGGGCAACATAGTGAGACCCTGTCTCTACAAAAAAAAAAAAATGTAAAAAGGAAAAAAAAACCCAGATGTGGTGGTGCATACCTGTATTCCTAGCAACTTAGAAGACTGGAGTGGATGGACTGCTTGAACCCAGAAGTCTGCGGCTACCGTGAGCTATGATCACACTATTGCATTCCAGCCTGGGTGACAGAGCAAGACCCTGTCTCTAAAAAGAATTTAAAAATTAAAAAAATGTCCATTGCATGCCATAAAGCCTCTGATCTCCTACCCCACTTACCTTTCCAGGCTCTTTCATTTCTTTCTCTACTGGTCCTCTTCTTTCTGGAACTTTCTCTATGACCTATTAACTTCTAATCTTCCTTCAGTTCTCACCTTAAACATTGTTTTTTTTCTGGAAGATCCAAGGACTGACTTCAGTGCTCTGAGGGTGTAGGGAAATAAACAAAATGTTTTTTCTATTCTCTTACTCAATGATTCTCAAAAAAAAGCCAGGCATGGTGCCTCATGCCTGTGGTCCCAGCTACTTGGGAGGATGAGGCAGGAGCATCCCTTGAATTCCAGAGGTCAAAGTTTTGTAAGCCATGTTCATGGCACTGCACTCCATTCTGAGCAACAGAATGAAAGCCTGTTTCAAAAAAACAAAAACCACAGAAGACTTCTGTGACCTCTGGTCACCAACCAGGAAGTGCGTAGAGATTTCTCCCCAAAACAATCAGTCATTCAAATCTGTAGTGGAGGATTCCTAATGGAATACCAGCTGGGTATCCACTAATTGAGTTCAATTCTGATACTACTTATCTGGAAATAGCATCAGCTCCCACAGGTGAAGGGCTCAGCCCCGCAAGACTTCCCCCAACCAGAAACACCAGTCACACCTGATAGGTTGTCTCCTGTGTTTCTGTCCAGTTGGCTATACATTGGGGTTTTCGTGACCCCTTCCTCAGATTTGGTTAATGTGCTAGAATGGCTCACTGAGCCTGGGGAGAGGTGCATGGGAGGAGTGTGGAGCTTCCCTCTCTGGGCACCACCCTCCGGGAACCTGGTGCACAGCAGATGCCTGGTCTCCCCACTCCATGGGTGTCCATGGGGTGCTTCTGTCTCTCTTTTGTGTTGGGTACCCTGCTTCTTGCCTCACATGACATCATCTTTCTCTATCAACCACCTCACATTGGCTGTTTACTGAAATAGCTTTCTAAAAAAAAAAAACAGGGCCTGGAAGGCAAATTTGTTGTGACTTTGCATATTTGAAAATGTTTTTCTTTGTAATTTTCTCCATTTTCAAAATCCCATTTAGCGTTGTTTTTGTGAGTCTTTTAGGGGAAAGAGTGAAGGTCTATCGGTTATCACGGTCTCAACCCCGAGGCAGTAGTTTCACTTTTACTTGTCTTTCCAGCCCGAGAATCAGCTCCTTGCGGGCAGGGACTGTGTCTCTCACCGCAGTGTTCTCAGCACCTAGTATAGGGTCTCGCTTTCATGCTCAACATAAATCTCAAACCAAAAAAGCCTTGACTGTCGTTTGACTGCTTGAGATGCTGGAGTGGATCTTTTTAAGCTGTTATAACACTAAGGCTGTGAGCAATACCTATTTTGTTCTGCTTATGGTTTGAACTTATTAACTGGACAAATACTTTGTTATCTTTCTGGCAGGCCCTGGGCTGTCCAGTGGTGCAGAGCACACACATTCTGTTCTCACGGCATACTGATATTTACAGAGTTTTTGTTATATTCATCCTTAGAGCAGACTAGAAGATGTCTTACAAACTATTTATTAGAGACCTAGGTACCTTGAAATAGTCTTTTTTTTGAGACAGAGTCTCACTCCATTGCCAGGCTGGAGTGCAGTGGCACGACGTTGGCCCATTGCAACCTCTGCCTTCTGGGTTCAAGCGATTCTCCTGCCTCAGCCTCCCGAGTATTTAGGACTACAGGCATGAGCCACCATGCCCAGCTAATTTTTATATTTTTAGTGTAGATGGGGTTTCACCATGTTGGCCAGGATGGTCTTGCTCTCTTAACCACATGATCCATCCGCCTTGCTGGGATTATAGGTGTGAGCCACCGTGCCTGGCCACCTTGAAATACTCTTGTACTATTGGATGTACTAAAAGCTCTCTCTTTATCTTGCAGGTGGTCACCATGGGCCTTTTCCGTACTATTGCTTTGTTTTACCTTGGAAGTTTTGACAGCATAGTTCGTCGCTGTATGATGCAGAGAGAAAAATCTGAAATTGCAAATAAAACTGCCTAATTCTTCTTACCCTTGGAAGAAGACTGTTTCCAAATAATTTGAACAGCTTGCTGCTAAATGGGACTCAATTTTTGACCAATAGACACTTATATATTGTTTTTGAATATCACATTGGACCAGTGCTCTTCAGAAATGTGGCTGCAAGCAAGGAGCTAGAAGTTCACCTCCTGACAATATTATTAGTACTATGCAAATATGGAATAGGAGACCATTTGATTTCCTAGGCTTTGAGGTAGAGAGGTGATGGTATGAGAATTAATAGCATGTCAACAAGGTGAAGAACAGGATTCCAGAATGATCATTCAATTTTTTTCTATTTATTCTTTTTTGTCCCCCCTAGAGATTAAGTCCAGAAATGTACTTTATGGCACATAAAGAAATCTTGAGGACTTCCTTTAAACCTTCCATAAAAAACAGTTTTGGGTTTCTAGGGTTTTTTTTTTCTTTTTAACTTGGTGTATTTTATTCAAGATAAGTTGGACCCATTGCCAGCGAGTCTGAATGTCACTAACAGCTCTGTGTTGTGCTCAGCACTCACTCTGCTGCTGGTGGAAACTCATGACCTCTCTCTCTCTTTGATCCCATAAAGATACGAGGGGGATGAGAGAGGGCAGTGCAATGGGAGGTAAAGAGATGTTTTCTAGTTGGAAAAGCAATGCTTTCTTGTCTTTAGACTGAAATGCTGAGGGAACGTTTCATTTCTCATTCATCAGGAAAGGCAGCCTCCTTAAATGTTTTCAGAAGAGCGATAAAATCTAGAAACTTCAGAATTTACAATTCCTTCAATAGCCATGATGACCTGAAGTTCACCTACTCCATTTTAGCCTCCATTTGTTCTTCCCATCTCTTCCTTTCCAATTTTGCTTATACTGCTGTAATATTTTTGTAAAAAAAAAAAAAAAAAAAGGGAGAAGAAAAAAAAGACCAGCTAAAATTTTTTTGACTTGACTTTTTAACTTAATTCATGAATTAATTAAAACAAATGAAAAAATTAAAAAGTGTGACATTTTTCTCAGAGCATATATGTAGCTTTTAGGAAGGGCTGATGATAATAAGACGTTTACCCATTAAGAAAAAAAGGCTGATTTTGAAGAGGCTCGCTTTTGAAATAAAATGATCACCTGTTCTTTCTGTGACTCTCCCGCTGAGCCTGCAGGCATCATCTTCATACCACGTGCTAAGGAAGCCCACTCATTACTGTAACTCTGTAGCCCTGGAGGCCCTCTTGGCCCCTGCATGATGTTTCCAGGTTATGGGATCTGTGTTCGTTGGATTTCTACAGCAAGTGCCTCTGATGAGTGTTAGCCAGCATTCCCTGTTGCATCCTGTTTGTCGTTCGTACTCGTCTTCCTTGCATATGTGGTAGCACATTCCGTTCACTTCGGTGAGAAAAGACCTCTGTTTTTGAAGAGGAAACTTTCTTAAATTGTAAAATAAAACTTAAAAAACAAAAACTCTATACAAAAATTTAAGACCTAAAAATTATAGCAAACCTTTTTTTGCTCCTTTTTGAAGCTCTTGACTTTAAATGATTTAACTTTTTAAAGATGTTTTATGGCTTTAACCCATGGTATCTTTTTATTAAGATCTGAAAATAGCATATTTAAATACTAATAGATAGAGAATAAATTATTGTTTAATGTACAAATTGCCTGGAATGATTTCATTGCAGCTTATGAGGTTGGGTTGATGCCAAAATGGTTTCATAAATCTTTCAGTCTTTTAGAGCCAAAGTTTACAGATTATATTGAGTTGCAATGTACAGCTGCTAAAATGGAATCATAGCTTTTCATAATTTGCAGAAAACAATTACATTAATGTCTAGATGTTTCTCAATTTTATTCTTTTCTCATAAATGTTCCTTGAATGTTGGCACCTTCTACTGCTGATCTATATTAGAATCTAGTCCAAGATGGTGTCTGATTTAATAACATTAGTTATTTCAATATATTTTTTTCAAATTATCCTCATAGAACCTGTCACCTCCAGTGAGACTGTAATCTACTACCTGAATAAATGTAAGAGTGCCTGTTAAGAGCCCTTGTTTTGGGGCAGAAGACAATTGTCCCTATCCCAATTTCCACTAAAATATGAGATCAGATTTGTGGAGACCATCATGTCAGGGAAGAAATTTCCTTGTCAGAGACGTTAAAGGGCTGCAGTCCCTTACCAAAAAACTTGGAAATCTAAGTTAGTTTTTTTTTGTTTTTTTGTTTTTGTTTTTTCTCAATTTGATACCGTAATTCATTTAGCAGCAAAAGGAGACTTGAACGGATGTGAGAATATTGTACTTTTTATTTATGCTACTTCATTGTGACTATTAATTTTCCCTGAAGAAATATCCATGGATTTGATTATAGGTATTCCCCTAGATGCTGTGGAGGTGTTTTGTAATAATCAAAATATGCCCATATTGCCGTTTTTATTTGTTTGTTTGTTTGAGACAAAGTTTCACTCTGTTGCCCAGGCTGGAATGCAGTAGTGTGATATCGGCTCACTGCAACCTCCACCTCCTGGGTTCAAGCAATTCTGCTGCCTCAGCCCCCTAAGTAGCTGGGATTACAGGCATGCACCACCACGCCTGGGCAATTTTTGCATTTTTAGTAGAGATGGGGTTTCACCATGTTGGTCAGGCCGGTCTCGAACTCCTGACTTTGTGATCCGCCTGCCTCAGCCTCCCAAACTGCTGGGATTACAGGTGTGAGCCACTGTGCCCAGCCCATATTGCCTTTTTAAAACCCCAAAGATTATGAATTCTGAAACATATCCAGCCCAAAGGGCTTTGGATAAGGGGTTGTAGGCATTTAAGCAGCCTCCCACAATGGGCTGACTTCATCCAAAACATGAAAATATTACAAAGCAAATTCTATTTTTTATATTTTTTGGTTCAATGCTTGAACAACTTGTTTTTCTGCTGGGGGGAAAAAAACCTTGAGTGTGATTGTTATGGAGACTAATGACTTTGTTTTTTTAAAGGATCACATTGATTCAACACCTTCTATTCGACCCAGAAGTGGGTAAATATTACCTATGGCAGTAAATGTTTAATTATAATTCTGTTTAAATGTTGGCTTTCTGTATGTAGCCAAGAACAGCTCATTTCGTGAATTTCAGTTTTTAAATGCCTGCTTTTTAATTTGGTTGTATTATTTTATTATAATGTATTTGTAAGTATATTAAAAAATTAACATCATTCAGCCATAAAAATCCTCAAATATGTTCAAGGACTTAATAATTGAAAAATATATAGGAAACAATCCTTATTTCTTTTTACAAAAACAAAATCATGGAAATTATTCTTTCTTTTTTTAAATTTTTTTTATCTTTTTTAATTCTATTTTTTTAATAGAATAAATTATTTTATTCTATATATTTAATTCTAAATCTTTATCTGGGCTGGGTGCAGTGGCTCACGCCTGTAATCCCAGCTCTGAGGCCGAGGCAGAGAATCATGAGATCAGGAGTTTGAGACCAGTCTGGCCAACATGGTGAAACCCCATCTTAACTAAAAATACAAAAAATTAGCTGGGCATGGTGGTGAGTGCCTGTAATCCCCTACTCAGGAGGCTAAGGCAGGAGAATCACTTGAACCTGGGAAGCAGAGGTTGCAGTGAGCTGAGATTGTGCCACTACACTCCAGCCCAGGCAACAGTGCGAGACTCCGTCTCACAAACATATATATATTTATCTGGATCTGTCAGACCATATATTATTGATAGTTGCAAGTGAAATTTTGAGAGGTTGTTTCTAGTGTTTAGATGATGGAAACATTTTGGTAATATTGCTTCAGTTCAAAGAATTATATCTTTTTCTAGAAGAAAGCAACATCATTTTTTTTGCTAAATTATATAAACATTTAATTACATCATGTTCTAACTCACTTGAAGCCACTTATTCATACTCTTTGACATAAGATACTTTGTATATTTCTCATTTCTTTTAGTTCTTAGAGAGTCAGCTTTAAAAAGTACCTGCCGACCATAACCTTCCATATTCTGGACTAAATCTTGCTGTTCGGGTTATACTGCAGTGCAGTGACTGTGGATTTGCTATTTTGAAGGGGAGATAGTAGCTATTATATTTTACAATTGCTTGATATGATAACTCTAAAGACTTTTTCATTGACAAAAGTGCACATGGCTATTTTGATACACAATAGAAGTTGTGTTTGCTACTTTAGAAGCTTTTGTGGCAGAATTGTAACCTAATTTTCATACCTTGTATTTCTGAATCACAACAAAAAAAATAAATGGGAACAAGACTTACAGATTTGAAAACTTATTTTTCTGGAAATTCGTGTAACAGACCATTTAAGCAAAACATAAATGCTTTTAATTATGTTATTCTGACTTTGCATCTAAGCATTTCACCAGGTCTAATTTTTATCATTTTTTAGAAGTAATATTTTTGGAGTAAATACGTGGTGTTCTGAGCTCTTGTTTCCTGTATGTTCTTTGTGTCACTATGATGTGGGATATATGAGTAGAAGTTTAAGAAATGTGAATTTAGCAAAATTTCTTAAATAATTATGTTTTCTATACAAATATGTTTCTCATGCCTTAAACTAAATTAACCTGCATATTCCAACCATGTAATATTGCCTAGATCCTGACAGGCACCAAATTATACAAGACTGATATGGAAAAGAACACACCTTCATATTTATCAGTTCGTAAATAGAATCGTTTTGGAATATTGCGAAGAGATTTCTTGGACATTGTGGTTTGCACACTTAAACTTTTTCTTTTTTCTTTTCTTTTCTTTTTTTTTTTTTTTTGAATGGGGGTCTCGCTCTGTCGCCCAGGCTGGAATGCAATAGCGTGCTGTCAGCTTAATGCAACCTCCACCTCCTGGGTTGAAGCTATTCTCCTGCCTTAGCCTCCTGAGTGGTTGGGATTATAGGCTCGTGCCACCACACCCGGCTAATTTTTGCATTTTTAGTAGAGATGGGTTTTTACCATGTTGGCCAGACTGGTCTTGAACTCCTGACCTCATGATCCACCCACCTCGGCCTCCCAAAGTGCTGGGATTACAGAAGGGAGCCACTGTACCCAGCCACCTTTATTTACACCTGAGCAATTTACATAATAAATAAATGGCATGTGATATTATTTCTATAATATTTGTTTAGATATTTAAAAGAAAAAAATTATGTTTTGATTTCTGTTACACTCCTGATTTTATGACCTCTATTTTGCCTCATCCATCATATATTTGTTTGGTACCAATGATGAGCTGGGGATACAGTTCTACATCAACGATTGTTCCTTCCTCATGGCAATTACATTTCTTGTTTCTTCACCTTCCCCCTTCCTTCATCCCTTGGGTGGCTCTGCTATATCCTTACAAGTCTCTTAGAGAGGAACCACTCCCCATTTTCTTCTTTGGCTTGGAACCTCTGAATTTTAGGCTTCAAATATTTGTATCCCAAGCACTGTTCTAAGCTGGAAAGGCTCCAAGGAAAAATATGATCCCTACCCTCAAATAGTTTATAGTCTAGTGAGAAGAACATTTGCAGAGATTACCCTGTGATCTGAGAATAGCAGCGATTAAGATGTCATAACCAACACTGAAAACTTAACAGGTGCCAGTCACTTGTGAGTGCTTTACATGTATTAACCCACTGAAATCACACGCTAACCCCAAGAGTAGTACTATTTATATTTCCATGTCATAAATGAGGGAACAGGAACAGAAAACTTAAATACTTGGCTCAAGGTCACAGCTTCTCAGTGGTGACGCCAGGATGAGAATCTTGATGCTGATTTTTAGGCTTCGAGCCTCTGTACTAAATGTCTTCTAGCAGCACAGATGGAATGTCAAGACAGCCCAGGAGCAGCAGGGATGGCTTCATAGAGGAGGAAGTTCTTCAGCCAAAACTAGAGGAATGAATTTGCCAGGTGAAAAAAGTTGGGCACAGTTCAGGGAGACTAGCGGATGTGCAAAGGCAGAAGACGTGAGAGACCTTGGCATATTCCAGCAACCACAAAAAGTGGATATAGCTGCAAGAGGGAAAAAGGAAGAAATGAGGGGCAGGGAGGAGGGTAGCAAAGGCGTGGGTCAGACCATGCCATGTGAAGGGTTAAGATTTTAGGTTTTCAGGAACTTTGAGCAGAAATATGAAATAGCCAGATTTTAGCTTTACTGAGGTCACGGTAGCCCTTGAAACTCAGTTCTAGTGCTGCTGTGTCTTTAGGCCTTGGAGTCAACAATCCTCATTAGTTTTTAAAATATCACATTAGATACATATTGTGATGGGTTGAATTGTGTCACCCCAAAAGATATTTAAATTCTGCCACCAGTACCTGTGAATATGACCTTATATTTGGAAATAAGGTCTGTGCAGATGCAGTCAAGTTAAGATGAGGTTCCTGGGATGGGCCGGAATCCAATATTATGACCGGTGACCTCAGAAGAACAGGAGAAGCAGAACCGCACAGGTCATGGCAGAGGCAGAGATGAGTGATGAGGCTGCAAGCCAAGGAACCTCAGGGATTGCTGGCCACCACGAGAAGCTTGGGAGAGGCAAGAACAGACTGTACCCAGAGCTTCAGAGGGAGCCTGGGCCTGCTGTCACCTGGCTTTTGGATTTCCAGCCTACATAGCTATGAGAGAATAAATTTCTGCTGTTTTAAGCTACCTAGTTTGGTATTTTGACATGGCAGC